AATAATGGCTGGCTGAAACAAGGGGGAAATACTCTATGAGAAGTGGATACCAATGGAGCAAATGAGATGCAGAGGAAAAACTATGGTATCGAGAAGTATGAAGTAGGATGAATGTGCCTAAACACAGCTTCACTAGCAGGCTTGCCATGCGTGGTAAGCTACTTACGAAGGATAGGCTGCTAAGGATGAAGATAAGCCAAGACAATTGGTGTTTGATCTGTGGAAGCCAACCAGAAACAGTGGAACACTTATTCTTTGAATGCAAGCTCTCAGAGACATGCCTACAATGCTGTTGAAATGGGTGCAAAGAGGGACAACAAAATATGATCTCAAGGGGATTTGGAGAAGATCAATAAGAGGGATCAAAGGGAAGAAATGCAGGGAGTTCATTACAACGATGATAGCTACTTTGATGTACAAGATTTGGTGGCACGGAAGGAAGCATTATGGAACTAAAGAGTCCCTACACCAAGGATCATCTGTGCACAGGTCCAGCAAGAATGTAAGATTAGAGTAGTTCCTTCGTTAAACAGGAAATGTAGTAGGAATGAGAGGACTGGATAGACCAATTGTATAAGAAACAATGACAAGAGTAGAAATAGAAAGATAGAATAGGAGAGAGAACTAAGAAAGAGAGGAGGAACAGATAGGGCCACTTGTATGCCGGGATAGGATGTAGTTTTTTATTGGGTGCGCTAAAGTTTTTTGAAGAACGAATACCTTTGGTCACTTTCATTGTCAAATAGGCTTTTCCTTCGTATACCTTACTTACCTCGACCTAGCGAAGCACGACACGAAAAAGGCAGTCCTCTTTTTCTGTATCAACCAAGAAAAAGCCCGCCGCCTGGATCACTTCTTAAGAACTCGTTGAGAATTATTCTAATCTAGTTCATGGCCTATTAGAAGTAGAAGGCGCTCTGGTGGGATCTTCACGGATAGAAAAAGATTGCAGTCAGTTTGATAATGATCGAGTGACATTGCTTCTTCGGCTCGTGGTGATAAATAAAGATTTCTGTTTCACCAAAAAAAAATGATCTCTGAAAGCCTGGGTGAATTGATTTAATTATTAAAAAAAAAACACAGTGATCTCTAGTCTAGGATCAACACCAATGAAATTTATACTCCCTTAATATTCTGTGTATAATTAAGGACAAAAGAAAACACTAACAATGCAGTAACTGTATTTTTAGTGTCATATAAGTACATACCCTGTTCCCTACCCAATTGTTTTAGAATGGAAATTATTGTCACAAGTAATTGGATCGTTGAAACGCCGGCATTTCCGAAGTTAAATTTTCCGGCTAAAATTGTGTTGTTTGCACCTTCTGGTGCTCCAACAATTGTGGATGTAGCATTTTCTGCGTTTTTTCCATTGTAAATAACATCGTGGAAGTTACACGAAGAGTAACAGCCAGAAAATATCGGAACAAACGAGACGCTATTATAAAGAGGTTTGACCGTATATAGCTAATAGCATTCGTACAACTTAATATCCATCTTGAGACGAAAATAACCCAACCCTTCAACAGCATCAGTACTAAACGTTACAACACCTCTAGCCATGAAAAAATCTCCTGTCCCTCCAACAACAGAGAGATCCCTATTTTTCTCCCCTATAATATCTGCCCCCATAATACTTAACGTGCCATTATACTCACTAGAATTAAACACCAAAGTATAAGCAAACCATGCATTATACGTAGTCTTCATATTATATAAATAGAATCCTTGAGCTCGTGCCACGGGTGTTGACACCAAATTTTGATCTACTGTTATTGGATCGTCGAAAACAACTAACATTCCAAAGTTGAAATCGCTTAAAACGTTTGGAGGGTTTGAGACATTTGCAGAGGTCGCATTTGCAGCATTTGTAACGTTGAAGAGGATGTCGTGATAATAGAGAACGAATCGTTTGCAAGGTTTTTCGGGTTTTAGGGTTTTAGAATAGGCTATGAGAAAACATGAGGAAGAAAGTATAATGAAAAGGATCTTGAAATAAGAAGATTTTTCCATGGTTTGTAATTTTAGTGATTTTTTTTTGTTGTTGAGAGATTTAAGTTATTTTTTCAAGTTATATAGGGCAAAAGACTCAGTGATCAAAGAATATACCTTAATAGCTTAGTACAAAATTTGGAGAAAAATGTTTATCTGCTTGTTTCAATAGTTGTGTACAGAGTTGAAGACAAAGTTAAGTTGCACGAACTCCATTTTTTAATCTTGTCCAGAAAGATTGACCATCCGACTTGTCTTATTTAGTGTTTCATATTTGAAAATCTTACAGATATAGTAATAAATTTGTACTCTTTTAAAAAATAAGACAAAGCTGCCAAGCTGATTATTACACAAAATTTAAAAAATGGGAGGGTTTATTACCTACCACTATGGTCTCAAACTTTTATGGGCAAGTTACATATTTGGCCGGTCAACAAAAAATAATTACATTTGCTAGCCAATATATATATATATATATATTGATTAGCATAAAATATGAATAAATTTTGTATGTTATAAATTAATATACAAAAAGATATATATTTTGCAGGCTATTGTTTTTTATAACGGCTATACTATATTGTTTTCCCAAGTTTTATCCTTTTGCTAAAGGGGTTTTGACACAGTTACCCACAAAAACAAAATTATTTACCCTTGTCTACCCATTTGTTTTTCTACCCATAAACTAATTACATTTCCTACCCATAATAGTTTTTGTGGAGAATTTTTTCTTTATTCTCCAATTCTTTTTTATTTCTATGCTTCTTTTCTTTCTTTTTTTTTCTTTTCTTTTTCTTTTCTCCTTTTCTTTTTTCTCGTTTTCTTCTTATTTTTTTCTTTTTTCCTTTTCTAATTTCATTTAACTTCTTTTTTTTATTATATTTTTTTCTCTTCATAATATAATTTTATTTACTGTTTTCACTAATTTTTATTATTCTTTTATTTTATATTATTACTAAAGAAAAATCAAATTGTGTACCAATTAAATGTAGCTAATACAATCAGAAAATATTAACTAACATATGATACCAGTATAGTATATAGCTATACCAACAGGGTATACAATTGTACGTAAATAGTTAAAAAAAATTAATTCAATTATTAAACTGAAATAATATTAGTTGTCAATAAAAAACTTAAAAAATTCTAAAATGATCTAATTGTAAGAGTATACCGTTACATTATATAGCATACTATAATTTTTTTTTTTTTTTAAATTTCAGTTTGTCTCTCACGTTGGGTAAGCACTTAAAGCAAATTAAAAGGGAAAAGGCAAGTGAATTTACGGGTAAATAAGTATACTATTATAGTATATTGTATACTATTACAACATACTCTTACAATATATTGCATATTGTTACAGTATACTATAACAATATATTGTATACTATAATAGTATACTGTTACAGTATAACTATATACTCCTATAGTATACTGTTGCAGTATAGCTATATACTCCTACAGCATATTGTATACCGTAGCAGTATACTATTGGGTAGTTGTGTTCTTCTTCGATTTTCAGCTGAAAAATTCGATCTCAATCACCTCAAATCAGCTTCAAATGCTATCAAATTTCAGTATGAATTTCCAGAATGTATTACAAGCAATATTTAACAGCACCCACTTTGAATCAAACAAGAAATCTTCAAAAATAAAAATTTTAAATTTCAAACAAGCAATATACCATTTTGGTATACAGTACAAATCTGTCTTCTTTGCTAGTTCAACTCAATTTCAACCCAAAGTTTAAAAATCTAGTCTAAAATCTCCACCAAATTGACTCAGAATATAGCCACTTCCTCCAACTAATATTTCGAACATACCCAATCAGAATCGGATCAAAATAACTACAAACTCAACAAACCCAATTTATGAGTTTCAAGCTTCAAGGTCCTCCAATGGCAGATTAATGTTTGTCACAATTAAATCTTCAAAAAATCATCATTAACACCAAAACTTGCCACAAAGAGTGTCGGCAATTAAAATTTGTTATTACATACATAACCTCACAAATTTGTAGCAAACTGAAATCTTAAAATTTTTTATCCTTTTTTGATAGTTCTTTCTTTTTTAGCCTTTTTTTTGCTGGGACAAATGATAAAGATAGGATAGAGAGGTAGATAGATCATATATCTAATGAAAAATTGTAAGGATATTGGCAAAAGGAAAGAAAGAGAAAGAGCGGAGAAAATGATAAGAGAAGAAAGCAAAAAGGAGGAGAAAAATTAGCTTTAACAAGAATAAAACAGGAAGAAGGATTAACGGGGAATTACTTTTGGTTGCATAGTTGTAATTATTTCCAGAATAGGTAAAGGCGGGTAATTATTTTTGCTAGAATAGGTATATAGCATAATTTGCTCTTTGCTAAAGGAATAGTATCATAAGGTTTGGGCCGACAAGTGAAACAAAGTTGGGCCGAGAAACCAGGCCCATATCTTATCAGACTGTCATCATCAAAATGGAGTAGAAGTGGAAATTCTTTATTGAAGAATTAACTCAAAGCACATCCAACCACTTAAACTAAAAATAGCGGATGAAGGTATAATATATGCGTAATTTATGTATAATTAATGTATAATTATATATATGGCTAGAAAAAGTAAACAATAAATATGGCCGCTATTTGAGTAAAGATTCCTTCTTTATTGATCGATAATGAGCAAGAGAGAGTTATCGGCTGTAAAAGGGATGAAAAAGATTTTTTCTTTTTTTGATTTCAACCTAATTTGGGCAGTACCCTAGTATTAAAAGCTACTTCCATAGCTAAAACTCGTAACCTATAGGTCACATGAAAACAATTTTACGTTGATCCAAGGCCCCTTCAAAGAGTCCAAAAGTAAAAGAGAAAGATTGTTGTATGTTGATGAATAAGATAACAATACTATAGTCAATAGCTTCACCATTAATAACAGCCAGAAAAATTTAGTGTCTACAATTATCTAGGTTTATAGAAGTATATGGTGGATAAATATTATCACCCCTCTTTGAATTATTAATCGGATAAGAAATATTCAAATCTCATGACATTCATAAGCAAACTCCTTGTTTATAGGCCAAAAAGCAAACAGATGCTATAGAAGGGACAACATATATTCAGAGTTTGCAGTATTACAATAATAGAGCAGAAGGAAAAACAAGGGAAAAGAGTACATGTATATAAGCCTTGAGTGCCAGTAATGTATCTTTCTTAGTTGGTAATTCATTCTTCATTTATTACTGTACATTAAACACTTAATAACCTTGATGAATTGCTAGCAAATCGACGTTTATTCTGAATTATAATCACCGTCTGTTGAATCTCCTTCTTCCTTCAAAGAACTGAGTGATTCTCGAGGTAACTGGCTGCGATACTGCTGCACCACCAACACTGACGCTGTCGTTGAAAATTCTGGTGATGTCAATAAGTTCCCTACAGATCCCAATTCTGGGCAGTCACTTCTTTTATCCAAAGCTAAAACTAATTGTCCCTCGGGCATTCTGCCAACCAGAAACAGATTGCAGCGATTATACTCACGGATTGCTTCTATAGTCCCTCGAGCATCTTTCACCGTCCTCTCCTCAAATTTGATCGTGCCATCCACTAAAGATTTGTGCTTCACATCAGCAAGGTACTCTTCATCCTCTGATCGAGCCTCGGGGGTAGAGTTGTCGTTCATTTCAATCTTAACACTGCTGCCGGTAACCTCGGGGTCCACTGTGAACCGAACCACCACCAAACTGATCCCCGGGTGCTCAGCGATACGCACACCGTAAGCTAGCGCTTCGCGATCATCATGTCCACCGAAAAACAAAACGGTTATCGAGAAATCAACATTACTTGAAGGTATATGAGAAGCTCCACCGAGACCCCGGTCTACTAATATGCCAACTGAACACGGTGCATGCTGAAGAACTCTTCTGTTCACATGCCTAAGATCACCTCGGGTTGTTTCCAAGTGTCCATCAAGTCTCGGGTGCTTATGAAATGGAAGAATTATCATTGCAACCCTTTTTCTCTCAGCACTAGTCACTATGTCCTCATGCATGCTGTTCATAGGAGAGATTGCAGTAGTGGGTCGAATAGACACCTTACTGAGATGCTGGAAAGTCTCAAAAGCTACAACGATTTGATTTGAATCTTGCACCTGTTCGGTGTTCCAAAAGGGCAGTCCATTCTTTTTAGCCTTGTGGACCATCAGAATTGCAGAGGACCTTTCCGAAAGCTCCATGAGGTGCATCGCGTAGACACGAAGTCCCTCCCTCTTCTCAATACCCCGAGAAACCTCAATGAGATTGAGCATTGTAGGAATGTTTCTTGTGCTGTGGAAACAGGTCAAGATTCGCAGCTGTTTACTCGTGTTTTTCCTCTCTATTGTTCTGTGTTTGTATGCTGTCACAGCCAGTTTAGCGGGCTTATATACTGATATCACTATAGGCGTCGTGATGAATGTTGTGAAGAGAGCCATCAATACCATGATTGCAAATGTCTGATCATTAAGAACCTGCAAAACCGATCATCAGTCAAAAACGATACAAAACTATAAGTAGTAAATCTAAAATAAAGGAAGTGTTATCAAGCTGAAGCTTACTCCTCTATCTTTGCCAATGTTGAGAACAATGAGCTCCACCAAACCTTTAGTGTTCATCAAAAAACCGAGAGTTACAGCCTCTTGGACTGGCAATTTGCACAATAGCGAGACCACAATAGTGCCAACAATCTTTCCAAAACATGCCGTAACTATGACAAGAACAAGGAGACCCCATGATTGAGCACCTTGAATAGTAGCTACGTTCGTTTTCAATCCACTAGACACAAAGTAGAGAGGAAGAAATAGACCAGAGACAAGATCCTCGACTTTTTCCACCAGAGCACCCGCAAAGGGTCCTTCCTTTGGGACAAGAACACCAAGCACAAAAGCTCCGAACAGGGCATGAATTCCAATCGTGTCAGTCACAAATCCTGCAGCCAAAACAGCAGCCAATGTAGCGCACACATATTTTTCATCCACTGGCCCACCATCAGAACAACGTCTCGCCATCCATTTGAATATACGAGGAGCAATGAGTATGCAGAGTAGCACAAAACCCGTCCCACACAAAAGGACCCACAACGAAATAAGGGGAGAACGACCAACACCTGAGAGGGCAATAGCTAAAGCGAGTAGAATCCACGCGGCCACATCATTGACTGCTGCAGCAGACATAGCCATTCGACCAACATCTGTTGTTAAAAGCTTGAGTTCAGCTAAAATACGAGCCAAAACGGGGAAGGCAGTGATAGAAAGGGCAACACCCATGAAGATCAGAAAAGGGCCTTGGTTTACTCCTTGAGAAATAGTCGCTCGGAGAACAAATGATGTCCCGATTCCTAATGCAAAAGGAACACTGATTCCTGCAAGGGCAATGCTTAGAGCTTTCTTTCCAGTCCGACGAAGGGACTTTGGATCTAGCTCCAGTCCGACGAGGAAAAGAAAAAAGAGGAGGCCAAAATTGGCTAAGGTATCTAGCACAGTAAGACTCTTCGGCGGAAATATAGCTTGCAGATACTTCTCGTTGCGGCCTAGAGCAGACGGACCAAGTAGAACCCCTCCCTAACAAAATAAAAATTCAGATCAGATCAATTTCTTGCACTAACAAGCAGCAATCAATATCATAAATGGATGTTCTTATGGGGCGGGCCGTAGAACAATTTCATTCGAAGATTCGTCCATGATATCACAAACCAATAATAAGAATATTCAACCACAATAAACGGTTTAGACACATCACTAGCGGCATGTACTGACGAGAGTTATCTCTACTACATGCATTGAAAAGTTCTAGTTAAGTCCTTTGCATTATGATGGTAATTGGTTTACTCCTTCCATTCTCAAACTTTGATCAAATCAGCGGCAGACCACAGAAAAGTTCATCTAAAATTCTTTCTAATTTTTTCATTGTGATGTTAAATAGCTGGTCAACTTCTCCATCAAGATTTCATCAAATTGGAGGCTCACAGGTGAATCTAACAAAGTTAGAATTATGATCTCAGACAAGTTCCAATTTTCCTGGAACAAATGTTCCTTATAATCCCACCGAAGTGGTTGGACTATAGCTATTATTTGTTCACATATATTATCAAAAAGATCGTCGAATGGATCTGTAGTCTGCTCAAAACTCGGTAGCACGGGGAAATCGTTGGTGTTTGACTGCCAGCTTTAACCATCAACAGCATATCAAATGCTTTATGATTAGTTAAAGTCATCATATTTGATTCCTTGTACACATTTAAGCAAAAGGCTTGCTTTACTGGCAAGCTGATAATAGGGAACCATGTGTTTTGACTTAATCTAAACCCTAAACTAACAAAAGCAATAAGAATGCTGAACTTTCAAGATATCAATATAAATATACTTTATCAAAAAGATAGCAATATACAAAATATATAACACCAAACATCTTATCCTACAATGTTTCCTAGAAGAGGGCAACTATAAACTTACCAGAGAAAATTGTGAAACACGAAGTAAAACTCAAAAAAATACCAGCATATGTCGACGTTTAGGTGGACAAAGTTACCAGGTATCTGTGGTGTAAGGCATTAAGGCGGATGTAATATATGGTCAACTAAATCCACCATTTTCAACATATAAGTCAAATCTCTCTATAACAGTCTTGTTTGTTCCGAAATTTTTTGGCTGCTATAGTGAAGTGCTGTTATAGATGACATATATTATAACATAATATAATATTCGGTTCCAAGAAAAACTCGACTTTTATAGTGAATGGCTATTATATAAGGATGTTGTTATAGAGAGATCTGACTGTAGTACAAATATATATGTGAAAAATTACTAAAATTTCAAAACATATTAAATCTTTAGACCCATATTTTAAAAAGTTTAAGGGGTTCGATTATAAGAATTGAATCTATCGAATTTAACTCCAGAATCCGCCTCTGAGTATCTAATGGATCAATCGAGGTGTGTGCACAATGGAAGAATCATGACGTAAACACACAAGAAGCCAAGAGGATTCAACATATAGTATATATACATTAAACAAATAATTGACCCATCTATACAGTGTAATTTTGGACGAAGTGGTGTCAATTGAGTCCCATTGGACAACAGTAGTTCCGCCTCTGTGCGTAGCTGACCCAAATACCACCGTTATAAGTCTTGAACAAACCCATAATTTAAAAAGTTTAACGGGTTGAATTGCAAGAACCAAAGATTGAATCCATCAAATTTGAATCCCAAAGTATCTAGTGGAGTAATCGAGGTGCGTGCAAACTGATTCAAATACCACGTTATAAAAACAAAATAAAGTAAAAGAGAAAGAATACTTACAACAATCTCAGCAATGACACGAGGTTGTCTCAATGGCCGAAGAAGATAGGCAAGAACACGAGTGAGAACAAGTACTAAACATATCTGAACAATGGCAAGAGGAAGTGCATAATCCAATGGATTGTCTCCTTGAAATACACCATTAGAGGTAGCTTTCATTGGTGTTGGACACTTCATCGTTACGTTTGTAGCCATATTTTGCGTCAAATAAAACAACCCCACTTGATCAAAAACACCAAAATCTTCTGCAAATTATGAAAATATATATTCAAAAACAAACCATAGTAAGACGTAGAGTTTTTTTGCACATTTGGGAACTTTAAGAATTATATATATATATATATATATATAGAGATGGAATGTTATCCTAGTATGAGTCGAATTAAGAACAGGATTAGAACCTAATCCTATTATGACTGGGCAAATAATCTAAATATTAAGTCACTACATCAGTGGAAAAGGTAAACTCCGCACCCTTTGTTAATTTTGTCACCTTTTTTTTGTTTTTCCTATTTTTCTTTTTTAGACCCTAACTAAAGCATGTGTGATTGGAAAATTTATTGATAGAGCCTATAGTCTAGGGAGTCAGATACATTTAATTTGTTTTTCTTTCCCGAGTAAGTATTTTATTTTTTTAAATTTAGTTTCGGATAAAATTATATAAAGTAAAGGGATTTAAGTTAAATACTACTACCTAATAGTGTAAAATTTTATACTTTCAGTACTGTTTAATTTTTTTTTATAGTTTGTTAGTTATTATTCCAGTGCAAAATTATCATTTTGTCCTAGAAAGATTGAGAATCAAATAATGGAAATAACACATCGTATTCGTAAAAATTTGACAATGTAGTTTTATAGCAGTTTAGGTACTATTTTTATTATACAAAAATATCATTCGTCCCGAAAGATTGAGAATCAAATAACATCATATTCGTAAAAATTTAACAATTGAAGTTCTTGGAAACTAGATTTACGCAATTACAAAAAGAAAAAAAAAAGGATTAAGCTATTAAAATATTTCATTATAGTTAAAGATATTTCTTAAAAATATAATTAAAGAAAAATACTTATTACTGGCCTTAACAGTGCCAGAAGAAGCAATTAGTACTTACTCTGTCTCAAAAAGAACGAAGGAATTTCAGAATTCAGAGTACAAAATTAAATTATTTAATTTTCAATCTCAATTTGAGCATTACTTTTAAATTTTCTTAACTTTCTTTTTTACAGAATTAGAAGTAAATAAAAATTATTATACATTAGGACTTTTTATATCGAAAGATACAATTAAAATTGTAACACAAGAAGTTAACATATACGTATATAATGTCACCACGCCAAAGGTTATGGTGGGATGGTGCCCTCCATTTTAACCACAGGTTTTATATTCGAGTCCCAAATATGAAGTCGCGTTTGGTAGAAAAACATTATCCCAAACTTGGGATTTTCCGCATAAAATTGGCTTAAAGTAGATATTAAACACCGAATGAAAAATCAAAAAGTTATAACGGAGTTTTAAAAAAAAAAAAAAAATCTAATGGTATCACCGAATCACATTAAAAACTTAATTTGGCTTCTGGTGTATAACATAAAATGCTGGTGGATGGTGGCAGAAATACTCCAATTAAATATGTCTATTAACTAATGCTCAAAATCTGCAAAGTTGCAGACTCACATACTACCACCTTATACGTGTCTTCATTTTTCCTCTTGAATCACATACCTTACCTTTGCCACCTTAATGACCCTTTTATTTATAACCGTTGTAAGTTTGCATGTACCTTAATTAATTTTACAAAACCGGCTACGCGCACTGCAATATCCTTATGAAATATTGATTTCTTTATATTTGTTTAAGCATTGATAGACAGAGTTATTTAAAACTATACTAATGAAATAGTCGAGATGCATGCAAGCTGGCTATATATGCGACAAGTATTCTAGAACCGTTTATGTGTATGTGTATGAAAAATAAGTAGCGTATTAAAGAGAGAAATTAAGAAGAGACCTGAATTTTTATGAATCCGTCGCCCGTACTACTGCAGCATTATATTATATTTTTGCCAATTTTTAGAGAAGGAAAAAAATCTAAGTGAGGATAACAAGAAGATGGCAGAATACTGAGGGGAAGAGGAAAGGAAAAGAATAGAAGTAATAAGGAACCAAACAAAGAGAAGAGAGAAAAGGGTTGTGTTATGAATTTTAGAGAAAGAGGTCTCTTGTCTTACTCTAATATCTTCACCACCAACACTATTGTTATTTATACCAATTTTATGCTCAAGTGACACCAGGGACAGATCCACTATACTTGAACTATATAGGGAAAATATTAATTTAGAAGTAGAATGTATTTATAAAAATTCCATTGAGATATTTTCTGCACAATTTAAGTTAAAATTTTAAAATAAGTCTCTAAGTGTAACAAAGTAAGTGGTTTTAGAATAACTTAAATATATTACCATTAATGCATTAAAAATATATGATATGCAACCATATATAGCAAGAAAGTTTGGATATACATTATACTAAAGATTTTTATTTTGGTAGGAGGGGGGGGGGGGGGGGTTTAGAATCCTTGAATCTAAGATACTATATCAAAAAGGGAAACTTTTTAAAAGTATAAGAGGTGGATTAAGATAGAAGAAGTTTCATGGCTGGCAATTTGTTAGAAAGAAAAGCAAGCTGCACGTTTTTGCCAGTCGGTCTCAAGAGCACGTGTACTAGACTTCTGAGTTGTAAATTAAAACAGTATAAGTAAAGGCGATCCAGAATTTGAAGTTTATAAAATTTTATAATGACCTCAAGTTAATATTATAATAATAATTAAATTTAAATTACAATCAAATATTTATATATATAATAGATTAAAAAAAAGTATTAGGTTCGCATGAACTCAAAACCGACTATCTAAATTTTCCTTCAAGTAGAAGGCTAGAAAGCCTAGTTAACTTGCCCTAACTACATATGATAGTGAAGATCACATTATGCCTGTGGACAATCTTCAGTAAGTTTCATCCATATTTTAATATAGTCCCTTTACATCCCAACAGTATTCACTTGTGTTTCCTTTAATCTTACATTTATAAAAACACTCAATAATTAACAAAGAGAAGAAACTGAATTCGGTTCCAAGTATAATACTCTCAAATCTCAAGCATAAAATGTTCGATCAAAAAGTGTTAAACCTTTTTGTTAAATTAATTAAATAAAATGATAACGGGCAAATTCTAGTTAAATATAATAAATCCTAGATCTAAGATTAATGGATGTCAATAACGTAAAAATCGCATTCAAGGCTATTAAATACCAAGGGGGTGTTTACTGATATTGTTATGGATTAATGAGGAATAATGACAAGCAATAAATATGATAAATGGCAATAAAGGTAAATAGAGAGAATGATTCTGTCACGAACCGAGTTCCCCACCGTCGGGACCGTGATGGCGCCTAACATTGAACCCGCTAGGCAAGCCAACGTTACTGAATTTTTTACCTTTTTCCTTTGTCTTTACCAATTTACCAAATAATGTAAGAAAAACAGCGGAAAACAAAAATGCGGAAGAGCAGAATTTAACAGTTTACTTTAATACTAATACGAAATCCATAATAAATTCCACCCACAACTGGTGTCACAATTTTACGGACTGTCTACGAATACTACAAATAGTGGTCTGAACAAGAAAATACAAATCTGTCTCTAAAGTAGGTAAAACAGAATAAAAGCAAGATAGAAGGGGACGGCAAGGCCTGCGGACGCCTGCAGGACTACCTCGGATCTCCACTGGACTGAAAGCAGCAACCTCGATCTACGGTCCAGCACTGGGATCTGCATAAGAAGTGCAGAGTATGCATTAGTACAACCGACCCCATGTACTGGTAAGTGCCGAGCCTAACCTCGACGAAGTAGTGACGAGGCTACGGCGGGGCATGACAATATATAACCTGCAGCAGTTTATAATAACAGGGAAAAAAAGTACGGAACGAAAAATAACCGGAATTTGCATTAAAGGAACACAGGACTCAGCCAATCTACTAGTATTCAACTATAACCAATCCTTAGGAAATTTCAACACCTCAATAATAACTTCAACAGAAATAAATGCCCAAACAATAATTGATGCGGCGCGCATCCCGATCCCACCATATAAACAAAAACAATATCAATATTTTCAACAATAACAGTATCAATATCCTCCCTTATTCCTCCTTGTTGCGGCGCGCAACCCGATCCCACATGTCCTCCCTTATTACTCCTTGTTGCGGCATGCAACCCGATCCCACCTGACAATCACAAATCTCCCTCATTCCTCCTTGTTGCGGTGTGCAACCCGATCCCAACATATATATATATATATATATATATATATATATATATATATATATATATATATATATATATATATATATATATCAACACAAATCACAAAGAATAAACACAAGGTGTTTCACAAGTTAACTCAATTTCCACAATTTTTATACTCCAACTACACAAGGGAATGTCGCCTCGATTACGAAACATCATTCATGAAACCAAATCAGCGAGGCCAACCAACGCGCACCATAAGGTACCAATCAATCATTAGAAACCAACGGGACAATAAAATGAAGCTACGAAGCCAATAATATCTCAACGGAAACATCAACAACTAACATGTAACAACTAAGTGATTCAATCAAGAGGACAACAATTAACATGAGCGATTAGATACGGAACATTTGTGATCAAGTAGCAATTAAGGCACGTAAGCATTTATGATCAAGTAGACATTAAGGCATGGGGACATTTATGATCAAATAGCAGTTAAGGCATGGAAACAGATTAAGCAGGTAGCAAATAGGACGAGAAATAGTATAATAGGAGACGGGGAAGGGAAAGCAATCCAAAATGGAATTTGGTGGCGCATAGGTACTCAACACCACACCTATACACCACACACATGATATTTCATTTAGCACATAAGTCGGGAACTCCTATTCCCTCAAGTCAAGGTTAGACCAAACACTTACCTCAAGCCAACGGACTATTCAACACTCAACCACCGTTTTACCTCTCGTTTCCACCAGCAATTCACTCGTATCTAGCCATAATTAATTCAAATACATCAATAAATGCTAATTAAACCAATTCTAATGCATGAACATGAATTTCTCAATGTTTTCCCCAAAAGTCAAAAATCAACCCCGGGCCCGCTTGGTCAAAACCTGAAGTTCGAACCAAAAACCGATCACTCATTCACTCACGAACTCAAATATGTAATTAGTTTTGAAATTGGACCTCAAATCAAGGTCCAATTCCCCAAAATTTGAAAATCCTAACTTCTACACAAAAACACCAAATTTCCCATGAAAAACCCTAGATTTTGAAGTGAAATCAAGTAAAAAGATGTTATAGATAGAAGAAAATAAGTTAGAAGTTGTTTACCTATGATTTGGGGAAGAACTCTCTTCAAGAAAATCGTCTAAGTGATGTTTAGGTTTTGAAAAGTTGTAAAAATGAAGAAGAATCCCGTCAAAAATCCCACTTACAGGTCTCACATGTCGCAATTGCGACCAGGGGTTCACAATTGCGAACCCTTTGGAAACCTGTCATCTTCGCAATTGCGAAGGAAAATGTCGCATTTGCGATGGGTGGGCTTCGCAATTCCCAGCCTTTGTTCGCATTTGCGGAAAGGGCCTGCTTAGGCTTGGTTCGCATTTGCGACGTTGGGGTCGCATTTCCCAAGCCTGACCATTTCGCAATTGCGAAGCCTGATCTCGCAATTGCGAGATTAGAGGCTTGGGCAAAAATACCAGACACCAGCTGTAATTTTCCTAAGTCCAATTCACTCCGTTGCCTATCCAAAACTCACCCGAGCTCTCGGGGCTCCAAACCAAACATGCACGCAAGTCTAAAAATACATACGGACTTGCTCGTGCGATCAAATCATCAAAATAACATCAACAACTACGAATTTAACCTCAAATTCATGAAATTCTTCAAGAACATTGAAATTTCCATTTTCTTAACTAAAGGTCCGATTTGTACCAAATCAACTCCGATTCTTACCAAATTTTACAAATTTGACTTATTTATTATTTAAACCTGTACCGGGCTCCGAACCAACATACGGGCTCGATGCCATCAAGAACTCGCATCATTTCTTTTCAAAAAGCCTTTATATTTTCCAGCAAACAAGTTTCTTTAAAAATTCTTTTCTCGGGCTTGGGACCTCGGAATTCGATTCCGGGCATACGCCCAAGTCCCATATTTTACTACGGGACCGTCGGATCACGGTTCCGGGTCCGTTTACCAAGAATGTTGATCAAAGACAACTTTAATCAATTTTAAAGGCTAATTTCATTATTTTTCTAAAATTTCACATAAAAGCTTCCCAGAAACGCGCCCGGACTGCGCACGCAAATTGAGGTGAGACAAAAAGAGGTATTCAAGGCCTCGGAACACAGTTTTGATTTCTAAAACAAGATATGACTTTTAGGGTCATCACATTCTCCACCTCTAAAACAACCATTCGTCCTCGAACGAACATAGAAAAGTACCTGAGTCGGTGAAAAGATGAGGTTAACGGCTCCGCATATCGGACTCGGATTCCTAGGTTGCTGCCTCAACAGGCTGACCTCTCCAGTGCACACGAACTGAAGGGAAATTCTTCGATCTCAGCTGACGAACCTGCGGTCTAGTATAGCTACCGGCTCCTCCTCGTAGGTCAAGTCCTTGTCCAACTGGACAGTGCTGAAGTCTAACACGTGGGATGGGTCGCCATGATACTTCCGAAGCATGGACACATGAAACACTGGATGCACAACTGATAAACTCGGCGGCAACGCAAGTTTGTAAGCCACCTCCCCCACTCGATCAAGAATCTCGAAAGGACCGATGTATCTAGGGCTTAGCTTGCCCTTCTTCCCAAATCTCATCACGCCTTTCATGGACGACACCTGAAGCAACACTCGCTCTCCGACCATGAATGCCACATCACGAACCTTACGGTCAGTATAACTCTTTTGCCTAGACTGAGTTGTACGAAGCCTATCCTGAATGATCTTAACCTTGTCCAACGCATCTTGTACCAAATCCGTACCCAACAACCGAGCCTCTCCCGGCTCAAACCACCCAAGTGGCGATTGACACCACCTACCTACCATATAAAGCCTCATAAGGAGCCATCTTAATGCTCGACTGGTAACTGTTGTTGTAGGCAAACTCTGCTAATGGCAAGAGCTGATCCCACGAACCTCCAAAGTCGATAACACATGCTCGGAGCATATCCT